TGACCTCCTGCTCAGATGTAGCCCATAAGCAGCTCAGTCTACAAAGTGAGTTCCCTAGTAAGGGGAGCAGGGGCAGTCACTGAAATGAACTCAGTTGCCGCTCTTTGATCACTTCCCCCTGGCAGGGTGGCCGAGGACTACAATTGGGGTACAAAGTAAATATGTTTTTAAAAACAATAAAATAAAAAAAATTTTAATGAGGAAAAAAACCTTCCTGGGTGGAAACATCAGAGAGATAGGTACATCAAGATGGGAGAAGCTTCTCTGTAGGCTCAAAGTGCCTGCTGGCATTCTTAGATTTTGAATTGAAGCTAAATTGCATGTTAATTTAACAGATTCTATTGTCACAAAATATTAGTTCTGACAGAGGGAGAGAAAACATGGATGTTCCATAGAGGCAGAGTTTAGCCCATGGTAAGGTGATTAGCCTCTGGATGGAGCTGCAATGCTCCATTCTTGCGACAGCTCTGACATTCTCATCAGCCAGTCAGTGTCTGCAACCCGGATTCCTTTCAGATTTTCTCCACTGCCAGAGCCGGGCAGCTTCCCTTCAGAAGCTGATAACCAAGGAGAGGAGAGCAAGTGTCTAGAATATGCCCATTCCTGCCTGAGAGGACAGTTTATAGATGCAGACAAAGACCTGTCAGCATTGAGACATGTGATTATTAATGTGTAAATTTCCATAAAGAAACTGGGGAGCGTGAATTTAGAGTTGTATTATTTTTTAAATGACTTGGAAAGTACAGGACAAATGTTAGCAGCATTCCTACCTGGTGACATAAGGGTCAAAGATTGTGCCCTATCTTTCTGCCTTGACTATTGCCCTGTTCCACAGTGACAAGAAGCCACAACCAGGTCATGCAGTGGGCTTGTTGTTTAAAACAGTCAGGAGCTCTTCCCAGGGTAATGTGTTGGAATCAGGGGACATTTCTGCGGTGCATAAGAATTTTCTTTTCCGTCTGGTTCTTCTGGAGGAGCCAGCAGGAGGCAGAACTTCTACAGAGTCTGTCAGGGAGGTGGCATGTCTGTCATGCTCACATCACAGAGGAGATGCCTCTCTAGTGATCTGGGACTCCATTTACCTTATGGCTCAAGGACCTCACTTCTCTCCTAAATACCAAAGCCGAGAAGAAGGGCTCCACCTTCTCGTAGGGAGGAGAACAGGACAACAGTTCATTCACTGAGCCAGGTCTTCTCCTTCACAGACCAGCCTGTCTTCTGTGTAAATAATTTTGAACTACAATATTATGGAATGCTTTTTCAAAAGTGTGGTTGCATCAGCCTGACAGACGGTGAAGGCAGCTGAAGCTCCTGGCTCCTCTGCAGGCATGACACTGCCCCAGGCCCATGTGGACCAGCTCATACACCTCCCTTTCCCACTCCCTCCATTCTCCTCCTATACTCTTCTAATCTTTTATCCTCTCACCTCCATCTTCCACTTTACTCCCTCACCTTATCTGCCTCCCTCCCACTTCCTATCACCCTGCCCCCTCTTCCTTCTACTTTCTCACTCTTCCTTCTTCCTTTACCAATATTGTCCCCTCACTTCTCTATTCTTCCTCACCTTCCTATTCCTCTAGCATCTACTTTTCTCTTTGATCTCCCCTACAGAGCTGGGTAGCCATGTTTATCACCATCACATGCTTTCAACTCTGGTCACCACCAAAAGTGTTGGGCATGATTTCTGGACATTCCCTAAAACCACCCACAATGCCCATAATATGCCAGAGACTTACCAATAATGTAAAATGGGCCACTCAAATGGTTGCTCATAGGCACACCCATTTGCTGGCTACTCCAGAGCCATCCTCAAAGCCAAAGTAAATTCTTGTCCAGGTAGTGGAGACTCAGACAACATTCAATTTCTTTCCATCAGGAGGCCTTCCTAGCCTAAGGTACAAACCACCATGTGGCATGCTGGCAGAGATGAAAGAACCTCTTCCTATTAGTCCTTCTAATACCTGTTCTCAGCACCACCAGTGCTTGGACGCTGAGTCGGTTGTCTCCAGTGCTTCCTCTCAATTGACCTCCACACTCCCAGAAACATGCTGTAGATTCAAACAACAGCCTTGAGCTTTCTTAAACATGTCATCTGGAGGTTGGGAGAAAGGCATGAGTCACCAAACTGATCCAAGTTTCCTTTTCTGTGCCTTAAAAAGAGATTGAGGTGTTTGGAGAACAAGTACAAAGGAAGAGGGTTGACTTCCTTCTAATGAGGCCTCACGCCAAGTCAGAAAAAGGAAAACATATCACACAAGGCTTGTGCCCATCCCCAGGTTCTTCTCTTCTTTACTCTGTGACCTTGGCATATCTCTTCTACTTTCTGCATCTAGGTTCTCTGTTAGAGAATTGGCTACTGCAACAGCACGTCCTACTGTGGTAATAGGGAGAATATAATATGGCACTGCCATATGAGTGACAGAGTACATCTCAGGGATGGTCACAAAGGCAGCAAGGGGCAGCAGATCAGAGGCACAATGCAGGCCAGGTGGGAGAACTAAGAGACGGTCATGGCAATACCTTGCCCTCACAGACACAGAGGGTCTTTTCTTTGCAATCAAGAGCACAAGTAATGGCTGGGATCCTGCCTGCTGTCCTTTGCTGCCCAGAAGGCACAATGGAAAGGGACACTGCAATCCAGGGAAGACCAAGACAATGAGACACAAGTAGATCATCTAACATTGGTCTCCATCAACACTGACTTTGCCTTCAGACTCTACAAGGAGCTGGTTTTGAAGAATCCAGATGATAATGTCATCTTCTCCCCATTAAGCATCTTAGAGGCTTTGGCAGTCCTGTTCCTGGGAACAAACAGCAACACCATGGAAGAGATTCTAGAAGGTCTCAAGTTCAGTCTCACAGAGACCCCTGAGGCAGACATCCACCGGGGCTTTGGGCACCTCCTACACATGCTCAGCCAGCCAGGGGACCAGGTGCAGATCAGCACAGGCAGCGCCATGTTTATTGAAAAGAGCATATCCTAGCAGAGTTCAAGGAGAAGGCAAGGGTTCTATACCAGGCCAAAGTCTCCATGACAGAATTCCAGCAGCCTCAAGAGGCCAAAAAGCTCATCAATGACTACGTAAGGAAACAGACCCAGGGGAAGATCAAGGAACTGATCTCAGCCCTGTATGAGGGGAAATCCATGGTGCTAGTCAGTTACATGTACTCTAAAGTTGAGAGTGTCACAGGTTGGGGAGTGGAAGGAAAGGACGTTGGCTGGGTAACTTGTGTCCTAATGCTGAGCACTGGAAGTAAGGTAACATCAGTCTTGGAGACATGGGTACCTAACTTCTTATTGCCCACAGTCCTTAATTCTTCTCTAAGAATTTTTAGATATAGATGTAATTCCTGTTACATTCCCAACAGAACCACTGAGCTGTATGTCTAATAGAGCTAATTTTTCTGAGATTTAAACCATCTTACTCACAGAATGCCATATCTTCCACTACCCCACCTACCTGAGTGGGCATATGCCATGGCTACTCTCTACAGAAACAGGGTTTATCAATACCCCCTTCAGGCATTTCTAATGTGCTCCTATCCCTGATGGAGGGCTTCTGTCTCCAGGCAGGCTGGGAATTTTTGCCCTAAGAGGCCTGGCTACCCCAATTTTATAGGTGAATATACCATAGCCCACAGCTAATGAACAGCCCTGCAGACAGTTCCTATGGAGGACCTCTCTCCTGAGCCTTCTCTGTAATGAGCTGATCCTGGGTATAGAGAAGCAGGGATGAAGAAAAAGCCATTAGTGAGAGAGAATTGTTAGCAAGGTGAGGTTATGTGCTTAGGGTTTGGCTGCTTCATGGCATTTTGCTTTCGTAACACAACCAGCCTGGCAGCCTCCATGGATCACAGTATACAAGACTCACCCCTGGGTCAGAAAGTTGGGTGAGGAAGAAGGGGAGCCAGAGTGTTGGGAGACTGAGAATTGCAATGGGTAATGGTTAGTGGGGGGCATTATGAGCCCACCCACAAAACACCCATCCTGATAAGTGGGGAGCAAGGTGACAGCCTACAAAAGTGGCAGGAGCGAGGAAACAGATCTTGGCTTAGAATACTCCAGAACAGAAGGACAGGCTCTGAGACTACAGACAGAAAAAGAACTGGCTGTGGACAGAAGATGAGGACAGGAGGACATATATCCCTAGAAGACAGAAGAAGCAGAGTTACAGCCTACAGGACTGGGCCGCAGGGCAGGGCTCTCTCTAATGGAGCCAGGACCCAAGCTCCAAAGCTGCTTGGCTCTGAGGTGGGAACATATGTCTAGGCTGCTGGATCCTGGGCCCAAGAAACTGTCACAGTACTTAGTTCCCCAGGGTGCATTTAAGGTGATCACATGAACTCAGAATCCAGGGCAAGTCTGAGCAGGACATCTGGGATTCATGGAGGTGGACATAAAGCCCAATTGTGAGACTCCTTACCCATGTCTTACTTAGCCCACTGTGTATGGAATCCTGGATATCCAAGTCTGAGAAGTTGCAGCTCCCATGAGCTTCACTCTAAGCCCACTGTTGGCTCTGACTCTGCCTTCCATTAAAGTGGTTCATACTGAGGAGCACCATCAATGGAGCATTTTGTGAGAGGACTCAGTCTCTTCCTCTTTCCCTGAAAACATGTCCCACAAGCCATTAGCTTCTACACATGGTTCCCCCTAAGGAACAAAGGATACACAACTCACCCAGGCTCCAAGCTCACCATCTTCACCCTCATCTCCCTCTTACACAACCACCCTCAGTTCCTTAACTGCTTTGCAGGAGCTCAAGTATCCAGGCTGTGGTTTAGGAATTACCCTTTCCAAATGTAGACTGTGGATCACTTCTCACTCATAGATCTGCATCTACCAGTGTTTTCTTAATGGAGATTATGCAACCCCTGAGGGACACTGTGTTGTTGATTATGGATTGATTGCAGTCATACCACAGAAGTAGGCCACAAATGAGGAAGAGGTGGGATATTTTCTGGTGCTATTACAGTCTGATGGCCTGTTTCACATTTAGGAAAATGGGAGATGCTTTTTGACCCTCGTGACACATTTGAGTCAAAGTTCCACTTGGATGAGAAGAGGTCTGTGAAGGGGCCCATGATGAAAATCAAGAGCCTGACCACACCCTACTTCCGGGATGAGGAGCTGTCCTGCTCTGTGGTGGAGCTGGAGTACACAGGCAGCGCCAGCGTCCTGTTCATCCTCCCTGACCAGGGCAAGATGCAGCAGGTGGAGGCCAGCTTGCGACCAGAGACCCTGAGGAAGTGGAAGGACTCCCTGAAGCACAGGTGTGGGTCCACAGGATGCAGAGCTGGCCTGCCTCCCCACTCTGCTGTGGGACTGAGGCCCATTAGTACCCAGAGTCTTACTAGTACCCAGTATAATGGTGGAGAGTCAGCAGGGGACAGGGGATAGGACTTTGAGTTGAATTTCCCTCTTATGACTTCCTATTTTGGGGCCTGATTTTACTGTCATTTTTGTTGCTCAGAAAATGAGATCTGGCAGACCAGGAGCTGAGGTTGCCTCTGTCTCTACCAGGCTGTAAATTACAAGGTTCTTGAAGGAGTCTTTGAAAGGCAGAGACATAGTGGATGAGGTAACAGCTCTGTAATCAGCTCAGCCCACCAAACACTCATTCAAATCATCAGTTGTGAAATAATGACTTGAATAGCTACTGTGTGCCAAGTTCTGACTTAGACCCTGGGCATATCAGAGACTGAGGCACAACCTTACTGTTGCAGGCTCATCTCATAACTGAGGCAGAGAGAGTGTGCGAATAAAAATACAATCAATTATCATTTAATAAGTTAAAATGTTAGAAGGGTGAGGTCAAGAAGGGGAGTATAGGGTAAGGAAAGCTGGAGTATGATGCAGTGTATGTTTAAAATAGAAGGGTCATTAGCTGATGTTTTCGGGTAACCAAGACAGGGAAAAGACTGCATGTTGTGGGTCTAGGAGGAGAGAATTCTCAGCACAGGAACAGCGAGTACCAATCACTAGCCTGTCTGCTGTAAACACTCTCAGGAACTGATGGATAACTAATGTATTAGAAAATGCAAAATCAAGTGATCTATCTACAGATGGCAAGAGCACTTCTCTCCAGTGAGAGGGCTGTCTGCTGAAGGGTGCCCATCAGACATAAGTTGAAGGGGGCGCAGAAACAAGTCCAGTGACTTGTTTCTCTTTTTTATTCTCAGGATGACAGAGGAGCTCCACCTGCCCAAGCTCTCCATATCCAAAAATTACAGCCTGGAGGACATCCTTCCACACCTGGACATCAGGGAAGTCTTCTCCACACAGGCTGATCTCTCTGGGATCACTAGAGACATGAGGGTCTCTCAGGTGAGCCAGGAAGTGCTTCACGAATACACTTTGGGTCCTGAATGTGGATGGTGAAGGCCATGTGGGCATGTGTGGAATAGTGAATGTGCGGGAAACACCTGCATTTCTGAGATTTCTCATGCCTGGGAGAGATAAATTACAGCCCAGGCACTCCTGCTGAGATCATGCAGCCAGCCCCTCCACTACCCCCTGGACTAAGCCAAACCCAGGATGACATGATGTGGAAGTACCTGTGCTTGCGTTTAGATCACCATGAGTACCGCCCTGTGCTGCACTATGGCCCACCCACAGTCCGCTGCAGGCCCACCCACAATCCACTGCAGGCCCACCCACAGTCCACTGCAGAGCCAAGGCACATCCAGCCTCAGCTTCTTCACAGCAGAGCTGGGCCAACATGTCTTAGCAAATACACAAAATAGTAGCAGTAAAGGTGTTAACAAATGATCTAGGGCAGTTCGGAGGAAAAGCCTAAGAATAGGCGAGAAGGTGCCTTAGGATCCTCATACTACATTCCTAGATGTACAGCCTGGCAGTGCCTAATATTCTGTCCAGTGTCCACTCAGATCCTGGGCTCACAACTGTACCAGCAGGGCATGGCAGTCTGGGGATGTGAACCACGCCCTGGGCATTGCTGTTGTGCATCCCAAGGAGGCTGGAGCAGCAGGGATGCTGAAACCTGCCCTGGCTGCCAGCACACTGCTGCTCCTTCATGGATGTTGGAGGATGCCTGTGGGGGAATGCCTGTCATTGCCTACTCCCATCCTCCAGTTTGTAGTGGGCTTGAGGGCAACACAGATTCAGGCACTGAGCAGACCCAGGGCATGACTCATCTCACACCCTGAGCAGACTAGGGAAGAACCAGGGTTAGAGCTCATGGTAGGAACAGATAAATTCACCAGCACATGAGGCCAGAAGTCCCTGCTTGCTCCAGGCTTCTGTCCTGCCCTCCCTGTTCTCCAGTGAGTGATGTGTGTCTCTCCTCACAGGTGGTCCACAAGGCTGTGCTAGACGTGGCTGAGACAGGCACAGAAGCAGCTGCTGCCACAGGAGTCAAAATAATTCCTTGTTGTGCAAAATATATAACCATGACTATGCGTTTCAACAGGCCATTCCTGATGGTTCTCTGTCACACGAATAGTCAGATTACCCTCTTTATGTCAAAAGTCGCCAACCCCAAGTGTGCCTAGAGCTCCCCAAGTTGTGAGGCTTCTTCCCAGGATCCCAGGAGGAAGCCTGCATGTGGCTCTCTGTGTGCATCCTGGCACTCTTGCTCTGATTGGCTAGTGTATATCTTGCTTGGACAGCAACAGAGACTATCTCTGTGACTCCCACAAGCCTGGGAGCCTTCAGACTGTCACCATCAGCCTCTCAGGCCTCCTGGGAGCACCTGCTCATGTTTCTGAACCCGGAACATGTCTTTATTCTTCTGCCCTGCTGCTGCCACTTTGTGTTCCTATGCCCTAAACCTAGGCACTGAAAGTAGGTCTAGTCCCAGTATAGGCTCTGGGCTCATCTGCCTTCAGCTTCCATAGTCTTGATGGGACCATGCAAGCTTATAGGCCAAATCATGAGGACCAGACACAGGATGAGAGGAGAGCCTGCTGCACTGAATCTCATTAACCTGCTGCCAAGTTCATAGGTTATGCTTTAACTTCTCCAGGCTCTGCTACGCACTGTCCCTTGCAAGGTCTCCTGACCCTGCCCTCATCTGGCACACTGTTGGAGCCCTCACTCCTGCAGCTGCATGGGGTCTTTTGGTCAGAACAGCTTCTTTCCCCCTAGCGCTCCTATGTAGGTCAGAGGAGCCATTTTCTAAGCTCCCAGCTAACCACCCTCAGATGATAGATGGACACCTCCGTTTTCATCACCCAAAATGAAGAGGTAGGAGCACAGGATCAATAAATATGTACCTGCACAGAAAGTGGAAAGCTGTGTTCACTTACCTCCTGTCGACAGGGTTGTGGCCTCTAGTAACAACTGGACAGTAGAGATTGTCACTCACACTCCGTGAGTCCTGTGACAGCCCTCTGACCTATGTGCTATTATCAGCCCCTTTTATGGATGAGGAAACTGAGGCACAGAGAGATTAGCCATTTCCCCATGGCTACATTGTTAAACATTATGGTATTCCAGGTTTCCTGATGCCACTGGAACCATATTCATCAAGTCGGGAGTCTACTCTGAGGCATCACAGGGAGGGTAGGCAAGAGGTGATGTCACAAGACTCTGATGCTTCATACTAAGGAACCAAAATGGTCTATGGAATGGGGTGGGGGCTTTCTGTGCTGAGGGCAGAGGAGGAGAGAAGGTGGCCAGATGAACAGAGACAATGTTTTTCTAGACAAAGAGCAATGGAGACATTTCCAAGGTTCTTGGAGAAGATAGGTTTCAGAGAGAAGAGAGCAGAAAGGTGCTTCAGAGAGAGAGAAGCAGTAACAGCCAGAAGATGGTGAAGACTTGGGCTCTGTGAGGATTCTGAAGTCACTCTGAGCCCCAGGGAACACTGGAGGGGTTGAACAAAGTTTCTGCCTGGGGAAAGTTACTCTGTGTGTTTACAATGCAGAGAACTGAGTTGTGCAGAGGTGGGTATGATCCCTGAGGGCGGTCTCAAGCAACATCAGGCAACAGCTGGAGAGGAGAGGAGGTGATTCTGAGATGCTGTCTAGATAGAGGAAGAGAGGTCAGTATTTTTTTGGGCCGGGGAATCATGGAAAATCCTCTTGGCCTGGAATCACACCTGGTGTCCTGCATGGAAAGGGAAAGTTGTGCATCCAGTTTGAGACTTGTTTGAGTCATAGGTGGAAGGCTGGAGCAGAGGCAACCTGCAACCCCAAGCCCACTGCCGAGGACACACCAGGCTGCGGCAATTGCAAGCCAAGGCCTTCCCAGCCCACCCCCAAAACGTGGGGCAGCTCACCAAGCTGAGGTAGCCTACCACCCCAGCCTGTCTTGACGCCCCACAAGCTGTGGTGACCCACTGCTGCCCCTCCTCTCCTGGAGCACCAGGGAACCCCAATAGCCCTCTGCACCCCAGAAGAGCTACGTTTAGGAGCCAGTTAAATACATAGTAGCAGGTGGCTCCCAGCCAGTTCCCCTTCCTGCCTCAGGACAAGGAGACACTCCTTCCCTCCCTGGGGCTGTTGAGGCAGGAGAAGAAATGGCTGGCAACACCACAGACAACTTTCCTCAGTGGGAGCTGCCCATGATAACTCTCCTCAGCCTATGGGAACAGACAACTTTACTGCCTCAAAATGCCTACTGTGGCTATCCTACTGGGAGCTATCCACTATCAAGACAACCTTCCCTGCTTCAGTCCTCTGCCTTCACAAGGAACTCTGTAAACTTGGGACACTTTGCATACTTAATAACCCCTCAAAGCAGAAAAGTGGCCTGACCTCTGCCCAAGGAAGCTCCCTCATGCCCACCCCCAGACCTCTGTGACTCTCATCTCCAAGCCCTCAGTAAGACTCATCCCAGATTATGCATATTTGAGGTGAAAAGACTGGACAAAAACCCACCAGTCCACACTCTGGAAATCCCTGCCCCAGAAAGCTCTGCCCCTAAGAATTCCTATAGAAAAGCTGTGTTTGCACCAGTTCCTTGCCGCCTTCTCCCAGGAGCAGGGGCAGCCGCTCCTGGATTCTTCCATCCTCTCCTGGACTTGTCCCTTTAATAAATCTTATTTAAGAGATTTACTGCCTGCTGTGACTCACTCATCTGAAGAAGTAGGAGAAAGAAGAAGAAATGAAGGAGCAGAGTTCCTAAGATCCTCAGCTTATCAGAGGTTGGGGCAACCCTCCCCCGGGAGATGCAATGTCTCTTTTGAGGAGGCCTCCCCTCAGAGCTGTGTGATTTCTGGGCTCCCATGCCTCAGGACACCCTTGGGACTCTGTCCCACCTCAGAGCTGGGATACTTTCCCAGTCCTCATAGCTGTGACACAGATTTGTGGCCCTCTGTGTTGTGAGTGCTCTGGACACATTTTCTACTGATCAGGAAGGTAGGCGAGCACAAAAAAAACAAAAACATTTGGTGCAGTGACTCAGATTCACCGCCTCAGAGTTGTGAGTTTTGGGGACACCCTCCCACCTGGTCAGGAAGGTAGGCCAAACAACACACAAAATAAGTTCCTAAGAACAATCATTGAGCAAGAGGACATGAGGTCAGATAAAAATTTCAACCTGGTGACTCACACTCAGAATCCCTGTCCCAAGTGAGGTAGCATTCTCTAGAAGTCGTGAGGTAAGAGAAGGGTGTAAGCCTAGAGCCACGGCAGCCCACCTCCTCAGTGCCTCAGCTTCTGGCCTTGGCAATGGATGTGTGTCAACCTGCTGCCTTAACTCTGGCAGTGGAGTTCCCTGGCAAACTGCTGTCTCAGCCACGACTGGACCATGGAAGTGGTGCTGTGCCATCACACACACACACACACACACACACACACACACACACACACACACACCTAGGAGGCAAAAGTTATGGTGGCCTCTGCAGATCAATTTGGCAATCTGTGAAGGTGACCCAGCATAACAGAGATAGTGCTTCAGCAGTAGTACTCTGCCCCAAGCCACGGTAGTCCACTCCTAAGCCACTGCACCCCATCCATCTGAGTGGTCCATTGCTTCCCCAACCCTGCAACACACTTGCCCCCTGCTATGGCAACCCACTGCACCCTCCCTTCCCAAGCGCTATGTCTAGCCCTTGAGCAGCAGGCCACTAAAATTTCAAGTGGCTCCTTAACATTTCTCCTTCCAGCCATGGGGCTATGGAAGACAAAATGGCTGTACCTTTGTTCAGTTGCCTTCAGATTGTTGAATGGTCACCCTGGGAATAGTACAATGTCTGGGGCTCAGTATTGATCTCTGCTGCTGGCAGATCTGGCACTCAGCAGCAGATGTAGCCAGCCTCGCTGACCAGCAGTCCAGGTTGTCAAGCCCATGCAAAATCATGACCACGTGTTTAATGGCAATGACAGGGATGGCTGGGGAAAGAGTTGACTCTCCACTGAATGGATCATTCTATCCACTTTATTACTGAACTTCCCCTTAGCTGAAGTCACCTTTGATGAGCATTTACATGGAACACAAGTATCTCCACATCTTTCTCCCATTTGTTCCAATCTTCCATCATATTTCTTTAACCATATATTTTTCTCACCAATTTTTCAATCATGCTCTTTGCAAGACCCTGACAATCTATTGGCTATATCCATTAATCAGTGAAGAATCACATATCTGGCCATTTCTCCTTCCAAACAAGATGTATGGTCATGTGCTCTGTCTGATGTTCTGCCCACCATGAAGATTACCTTCTCCTGCTATCTTCAGGGTTGTCCCAGAAAGAGGTGGTAATGCTGCATCTGTTCACATCTGGCTGGTTTGTACATAAAGTACAGAACCATGAGTAAGCCAGGCCCTAATATTCTTTGCCTTGGTCAACGAATCATAGGGTACACATCATGAGGCTATACTTACAAAGTTGGCAGTAGACTGCATTGTCAGTGATTAGACACCTAAACATTTACGCAACTCCTTCATGTAATGTTCTAGTGCCTTTAGGACCTGCTTGGGCCAGATTATGTACATACCATTCCCTTTTGATAATGGCTTGCTGCTATGCATGTTCTACTTCATGACTTGGTAGGTCAGATAACAGGCAGGGCAGGATGGGCAGCTCAGGGCTCATGGTATCATGGGAGCCTCCACTACTGAAGTTGGTGATGCAACCTGGAGAGAATGGAGCCTAAAACTGAAGCAGACTAAAGTCTTCAGCAATAGCCGATTTTATTCAGAGCATCGGACAATTTATACTCTAAGGGTTAAGAAGAGTCACCTGAGTAAAGTGTACAATTATAAGGAAAAGCCACACATGTGGCAAACATGACTTTCCATATAGATATATAAACTAATGGCAATAGCCTGTTAAAATGAATAATCTGGAGAAAATCATTCCTATCTGCTACATCTGGGAGGGGCACAAAAGTGTAATCCAAACACAATACTGTGTGTTTTGAAAAACTGAGATCACATGACTCTTGTTTTCTTGGAGTTTCCCCACAAGCACTCAGAATTCCCCTTGGACTGTGTTCTTGGACTGTGTTCCCACAGTAACCCATTGTCAGATTTTCCCTTGTCCCTAAGGCCCAATGGCAGGCCAAGAGATGTCTCTCAGAGGGACAATTGTTGTCTGGAG